CGACCGCGAAGATCCGAAGCAAGGGCTGCATGAGACGACCAATCGAGGAATGGTCCATTGGGCCGCCACCGCTTCGGCGGAAGTTTCGATATCGAAGGCTCGTTTCAACTGCTTTTAACCGGCGCTGCATCCGGATACGGCGCGTTGCATCGAATCTGGCGGTTACAATTGCTCGGTTGCTGTATGGTTCAGCCCGTCCTCGTAGCCGGTTGGAGCCAAGGCGATCCCAGATATGAGCTGCTAGGAGCTGGTACCAGTCGTATTCTTGTTGAGACTGGAGCCCTGGAAGTGGCGTTAGGCTAGCTATGGTGCTGAGACAGGTTTCTGTGCATGCGGCACCGTCGGCCGTGAAACCCCCGTCGGCAAAGTTTGTGGGTTTGACGATATGGCGGCTGGCCTCGTAACCTTCGATAACCAGCACCGCAACCGTTCGGTTTGCGACTGCTCAGCTTGGTCTCGAAAATGCATGTTTATAGTCTCGAGTTCTGTACTGAGTACGAAAATGCAAGATCATATTTGCATATTTGTATCTCATTTAAATCGCATGGCAATCGAATGATGACGCAATCGGCGCCATGAGAGTGACCGATTTGACTGCGAGTGGCCATGACAGAGGCAGCATGGGCACGGACCGCGCGGCTAGCGCTCGCCTGGATACCCGTCGGTATCACCTTCAACTCGCTTGTTATGAGCGTCGGCCGCGTCGAAGGCCGGTCGATGCAGCCGACGATGAATGCCGAAGACGGCGACCGTGAGATCGTCCTCCTCGACAAATTCTCCGTCCAAGTCGCCCATCGGCTCGTGCGCGGTGACGTTGTCGTGCTGAAATCGCCGAGCGAGCCTTGTGAGTACCTCACAAAGCGGCTTATCGCGCTCGAGGGCGACTGGGTTGAAGGCCGCAGCGGCCGCCGCGTTGTCGTGCCGGCCGGCAAGTGCTGGGTGGAGGTGCGGCGATATCGACGTAATCTTCCTCTCGCCTCATGCAGATCGTGTTGCGTAGGGCGACAATGCCGAGCTCAGCGACGACAGCAACTCGTTCGGATGCGTCCCCATGGCCCTCATCGAAGCGCGCGTGGCGGCCGTCGTTTGGCCTCTTCTCCACATCAAGCGCATTCGCAACGAGCATCCGCCGAACCGCATCTTATAAACAAACACACATCCAAGTTCTTGTTGGTTGCTCGCCTCTGGTTGCTCCAACTCATCAAACAAACCACGGTCACAACAACGGGACGGCGAGTCTTGAGAGCGCAATGCATCGTGCGCAGTAACGTCCGCTTTATCCTGGTATGCATAGGAACGTTTACGTGGTGTACCAGCATCCCAGGGGATAAATTCGGCGTGTCGTGTCTCAATCCGGCCAACCCATTGGCTATAAATCCAGATTTGTTGTCCAATGAAACGCAGTTTTGTTGGTCTCAGCCAATCGCATCGCGCGAAACATGTCCTGTCAAGTGCGATTTGGTAGATCCTGTTAAGTGCTGTCACATGATCCACATTATACTTAATTTTGTATAAATTAAGTACGACGCACTTCTCAGAAGTACATTTTTAAGTGCGTCAAAGCCGCACCTAATAGAGCCTCCGAGCGCGCATCGATTTCGCGGAAGCGGAAGCGCGCGAAGTAGCTTCGACAGCTAAATATTCGGACAGCGGAAGCGTGCGAAGACGACCGTCATGGCAAGGACGCCCTCTAGTACCATGGGGCCTCATGGGAAGCAGGTGAAGCCACGAACGGTGTACGAGGCGGAGCTCTTCCGGGCGCGGCAAGCGCAGAGGATGCAAGAGACCCGAAGGAAGGCGAAGCGTGAGCAATCCGCCGCAGCGACCTTATCGACGGAGGTCAACTCGACTCATGACGAAGGCGTCAAAGATGCTGTGGAAGTGCCAGGTGACCCAGATGACCCAGGTGCGATGTCACATTTAAGACTGCAGCAAGCGACGACGGCGCGTTGGCCCGGAAAAGTCTGCGCACCGTAGCGCAGCGAAGGTCGCGCGTTGACTTTTGTCTAGGCCAACGCGCCGTCGTCGCAAATACCGGTAAGCAATGCTTCGCATTCAAAAGCTCACCTGTGGCACGTGGGCCCTGACGCCAACGAGCCTTGCGGGCCTTGACAGCTTCCATCGCCGGCAGCTGCACCGCCCTCTAGGTATCCTTCACCGGAACACGCTCGGCGACGTCGCGCTCTACAAGCGCTGTCACAGCGTCTCGCTGAGCGCGATCTTCGCCCGCTAGCGCTGGCGCCTGCTGGGCCACGTGTTGCGCATGAGTGTTGACGTCCCTGCCAACATTGCCGCCGTCCGCTTCTTTGCCACGCCCGATGCGCCCCGTTTTTTAGGCCGCACCAAGATCACGTTGCCGATCGTCCTGCACCGCGACCTCCAGTCGTTGACGCCGCCTCAGAAAAGTTCCTACCAGCTCACCCCGCACGGGACCTGTTATTCCAATCGATGCTCCTTGCACGACAAGTCGGTCGTTGCTGGAAGATCGCCGCCATCATCCGGATATCGCATCCGCATACGCCGCCCCAGAGTCGAAAGTGCAGCAGCATGGTGCGTCGGAAGGTGTCGTCGTCCGTGGACGCGCGCAAGTCGGACCGCCGGTTCTCGGACTTTCCCGAGGGAGTCGCGATGCCGCCGAGCATGTCCTTCCTCGAGACGCAGCGCATCAACGCGATGCAGATGGAGATCTACGGCTTCGCCGGCTGGATCGCGTCCATCGTCGTCTTTGGTAAGAAGTCGTTTCTTGCATCAACCTCATGGCCATCGCTAGCATGCTACCTTCTCTGGGCGTATCTCCCGGATAGCGTCCTGAACCAGTATGGCATCTCGTACTACCCGTCGCGCTACTGGGCTGTCGCGCTGCCCGCGATGCTGTGCATGTCGATCTTCATGGTGCTCATCATCTATGTGGCCATCAACCTCCTCTCGACAGCGCCCTTGGACTCGTACAACACGATCCGCGGTATATGCTATATCGACTGCACATGGAAGCTCACGCTCTCGACAGACAAGTACACGGTCACGATGGCCGACGAAGACATCCAGGCGCAGCGCTCGGTCAACACGCCGGCCTTCACCGACATTCCGCTCACGTCTATCAATCGCGTTCTCTTTAGCTAACTGGACCCTATACATCATCTATGCCGCCGTCAAGACGATCGTGCTGTAGTGATTCTCGGTGCTCGCCGAGAGCTGGACCGCCGGGTACGTGGCCACGGTGGCCTCGACGACCGGGAGGAGCTCGCTCCACGTCACGAGCGTCGACGGCTCGCCCCCCCAGACCTGCGCAGAGACCCGCGATTTTCTTGCGCAGCGGCTCGGCCCACATGTCCTTGGCAGCCGCTAAAAACTTGTCGAGGTGCTTGCGCGGCAGCGGAATGTCGCCCGGCGCGTGCTCCGTGTGGGGGTCGATGCCGTGAAAGTCCGAGCCACCAAGCTACAGACAAGTGTGAGACGCGAGAGAGATGATTGAGATCTACCTTTGAGCAGCTTGGACTCGGTGGCGAGCGAGCCGTAGAGGTCGATCTTGGTCACGTCATGGTACACCTCGACGCCCTACACAACATACAACTTTCCGCAACCGTGCACGTCTTGCAGCGTCTACGTTGATGCCTGCTGCAGCCAGCTTAGGCACGACGAGCAGTGGGTTCTTGCAGCACCACGGGTGGGCCAGCACTACGAAAGGTCAGACGCACGATTCCGAGATTCATCGCACCGGAGATGCCACCGGCTTCGGCAATCATCTTGATCGCAGCTACTCGCAACACCATGGATCCCGTGCATGTGTCATCACGCCTAACCTTCGGGCGGGAAATGCTCGCCCTACAGAAGAGCGTCAGCCGACACGACCACGCATTCATACATGTATATCTACCTCGGCGTACGCGGGCCCGTCGTTGCCAAGGTAGCGGGCAAAGGCTTCGCGGAAGTGAGCGACGTGTCCCGCCTCGACGAGCGCCTCGGCGACGTGCGGGCGGCCCGGCGCGGCTTCGCCAGCAATTTCAAG